CTCTCTCTCTCTCTCCCTCTCTCTCTCTCTCCCTCTCTCTCTCCCTCTCTCTCTCTTCCTCTGCCTCCCTCCTCTCTTTCCCTTTCCCTCTCCCCGACTGTGATTCGGTTCCGGTTTCGTTCTTTTTCGCCTCTTGTGTCCATAGCGAAAAAGAATAAAGAAGTGTTTTTGCCTCGTTTTTAGACGGTCAAAGAGGCTGGATTGGATGGATTGTGTTTGCCCGATGGGAGGGGTTGTGTCAGCCGGAAGCAAGGCGCACGCAGCACGCTACACGGTGCGTTTCTGTGTGGGCATGAGGCGTTGTGAAGGAGTGCTCGCTGGCCTTGCTGTTCTCGAGTAGCCTGGGCAAGGCGTGGTGCGGGGATGCACGCCGCGCCGAGGTATTTTTGTGGACGATGCTTTGTGTAGCATCAAAGTTGGCCACTTGTCGAAACAAGAATGGCATAGTTGAGCTTGGTTGAGCTTGGTTACATTGGACGTCTCTGGCGTCCGCACGGCGCACGTGCATTTCGTTGACGTTGTCCTGTCGCTGCCACTCGTACCCGAGCTCCGACGGACCGACTTTTGGCAAAGGTGTCTCTCGGATCCCAGCCTGCGCTGTGTAGGTCGGTAAGCGCATCTTGGACAGAATGCAAAACCCCCCCGGTGCAGCATCAAGATTCACCCAAGTTGCACACTTGCTCGTTTTTTTTCGTAATGCCCACAGTCAGCATGCACAGAGACCGATAGACTCTTACTCCAATCGCCGTGTGTGCAGTCCGCACACCAATCCTGCACAAGCCTCACCGGGTCTTCTTTTCCCTTCCTGTCTACACACACACGCCACCCTCTCTTGCCCTGCCTTCTCAAACGTCCCAGAATTCCACCTTACGCACTGCTCTCCACTCGAGTTTGGCCAGTCAAAAAGGGGGCTGGATTACGCCACACGAATGCGTTCTAGCTGCGGAATGAGCGCATCGAAAATCCCCACAAGCTCTTGGTACAGCTCGATCTGTCCATCGGCATGCGTGGCGAGCACCTCCTTCAACTCGAGCTGCTTGGCCTGGTGGAAAATGTGGTGTTCGCGCAGCACCTGTGCATTGAACGCATGACTAGTGTCATGTGCGCTCGTCACGGCATCTCCCAACTCGCCAATCTTGCCATCCAACCTCTGCATCCTCCCCACCCTCGTGCGCTCTTCATCCACACCCCTGAGATGATCCACCTTATCCTTGATGTACCCACTAATTCCCGCACCGCGAACACCTCCGTGTCCGTGTCCGGCTCCGTATGGTGAGGAGAGCGACGCGAGTCGATCGCGCTCAGAAACCACCCCGGACAGGTAGTCGGTAAGCTCTTCAAAGTCCACCTGCTTGGTGTCGCGCAGTTTGAGCACCGACTTGTGCGCACGTGCGTACGCGAGCATCGCCTGCATCTGCGACAACATCGAATCCGTCGATTTCGCAGACTACACAAAACAACCCCCAAAAACATCAGCTTCGGTCAATCCTCTAAACAAAAGGCAAGGGCGAAAAAAACTTACAGTCGCACGCTCGAGTCGAGCCACCTCGAGCATGGCCGCTGCGAATTTGTTGAGCGGCTCGGTGATGCCGCTCTCGAGGTAGCCGAGTCCTTCGATGCTGGTGGCCAGATCCTCGTAGTCGGTCGAGAGGTCTTCGAGCGCAGTGCCGAGTTGCGGGGCATAGAGGTCGCCAAAGGGCAGGGCTGAAGAGGGTCAGCGGTGCGGCTTGGGGGCGTCAGATGAGCTCAAATGGCGACACATTCATCGCACCATGGCGCGGTCGACGGAGACGCGACAGATACTCACCAGCTATACGGTTGCGGTTGCGCGACAGCACGCGCTCGGTGCCCGCCAGACCTTCCTCGAGCTTGTCGATGCTCTCGCGGATCTCCTCGAATCGCTGGTCGGGTTTGCGCACCTTGCTGAAGGCGTTGAGAAAGTGGTCGCTGATGCTATCCAACAAACCTGGTGGGCCGGCATTTTCGACGTGCGAGCCCGAGACGAGCGCCGAGGTGCCCGAAGCGGCGCTGTTTGCGCTATGCGACGAGTTGTGCGCATGCATATCCACATGCCACTCGGAGCTCTCCAGAAAACTGCGCAGGAGCTGGCTGCGCTGCAGCGTAGGATGGCGACAGATGCGCTCGAGGAAGAGCTGCAGCTCCTGCGTGCGCCTCTCAATGAACTCGGTGCTGAAGCGGTCGCCCGTCAGATACTCGAGCCGATGCTTGTCCGGCAGCGGCGCCACGACGCACGCGGGGAAGTCGCGCTTGAGTCCCTCGCGCAGAAAGGTGAAGTCGTTGAAGCGCCGGCGTGTGGCCATGTAGGTGCGCGAAAAGTGCGCCAGGTTGGTCTCGGCGCGGATGCCGTAGCTGATGAAGGCGTCCTTTTGGCCCTCGAGCTCCTTGCGCGGCTCGAGCACCTGTACCATCAGGTAGCCCGCCCAGGTGAGTTCGGAAGGGTCGTCCGAGGCGAACGGATCGCGCGCAAGGCCACCGGCGGCAGCGGACGAGGCGGAGGTTGTAGACGGACCGGCAGCAGCGTTGGTGGATGAGCTGGGCATGGTGGAGAAGACGGGCTGCGATCCGGTGGCAGCGTCGCGGTTCTCCCACGTGACCGAGGTGAAGGTGTCTTCCTCGGCGTCCATGTTGGCGGGGGTGATGTGGAGAGGGATGATGGAGGTGCTCCTGAGCGCGCTGCTGAGTTTTGGATTGGGCTGATGCGATGCGCTCACCAACTGCACCGCTCCATCCACCCATTGCGCACGGATCGCTGCCACACTCTAGTCGATACAGCGTCGGTCTAACATCATCAAGATCGGCTCAGCCGCGGCTGGCTCTGCACAGCCAAATTCGCAGCTCAGCCCGCCCGCTGCGCTCCACATTCAAGCGAAGCTCGCCTTGAGCCTCCTCGGGAGCCTTTGCCACCCCTCACAGCCTTCCTCTTGTTTGCACCACACACCCAACGCCTCGCGCAAACATGTCGCTTCCCTACGCTGCCGACGCCGAGACGTCGCTGTCGCCCTCCGAACTGCACGTGCTCAAGTCGCAGTACGAGACCGAACTCGCTGCTGGGCACGTCACCACGCAGACCAAGTTCAACTACGCCTGGGGGCTCGTCAAGAGCAAGCAGCGCGCAGACATGAGCATGGGCGTCGGGCTTTTGACAGGTACGTCCTCCCCTCTCCCTCACTTTCACTGTGGGTTGAGACTGAACTCTTTGTTGCTTTTGGGCGTACGCGCAGAAATCTACCGCTCGGATCCACCACGAAGGCGCGAGTGCCTCTACTACCTCTCGCTCGGCCACTACAAGATGGGCAACTACGACGAGGCGCGCCGCTTCAACAGTAAGTCTCGCCACGCAACCCCTCAATCACATTTCATACTTGCTCATCTCCCCCTTGGATTATGCAGCGCTGCTACTCGAACGCGAGCCGGGCAATCTCCAGGCACAGAGCCTCAACCAGCTCATCGAAAAGGGCGTCGCTCGAGGTAAGTTTCAGTCCCCACTTTCGCGCTCGATTCACGCACTGACTCTTCGACCGCTCTTTGCGCGTAACCGAGTGCAGAGGGCTACCTGGGCATGGCGCTGATTGGGGGTGCGGCAGCAGTGGCCAGTATTGCCGTTGCCGGCCTCATGCGTCGCGGACGCCGCTGATCCTCTCTTCACAGCTTTGTACATTATTCATCTCGATCCGCGCACCTACACACACTTGCCAAATGCCTGGAAACGCACGCACGGGGGAAATCTGTGATCGCGCATGTGCGGTGTGGGGAGGTAGGAGGCCTGCCGTGAGGCGGATTTACGGCCATCAATCTACCAATACGGACGCACTAGGAGCGCCACTGGACGGCAGGGACGGGCGGGATCTTTTGGGATCCCGTCGAGTGGCGGCGGTTCTCGTTGACGTGGACGACGACGGAGCGACGGCTGCGTTTGCTGCTCTTCGAGTTGGTGCGCGACACCATGGCTTCCGTCTCGATCATGCGCGACTTGACCTGCGCACCCTCGGCTGTCTTTGTCGCATTGACGGTGGTGGTAGTTGGGCGTGGGACAGGTGCAGTTGGTGCCACGCTTTGCGCCGTGCTGGTTTCGGGTGCGGCGCTGTTCGACTCGCCCGAGTTGACCTTGGTCACCTGCGAAGCGCGCGTCATCCTTCCATCTTCCGCCGCTTCGATGGGCTTTACAGTCGCGCCTGTCCCAAACGAGAATGCCTGGGTTGCCGTCTTGGCTTCGTTGGATGCCTCTGCCGTATTTCTCTTGGGCGCACTGAATCCCGTATCCAGCTTGGCGCCCTGCGCCACACGGTAGAACCCTTTCTCGCCCTCGGGCCGCTTGCGCTTCCTCCTGCGTGGCGGTAGTTCGTACGGCGAGTTGCTGAACGGCAGTTTCTCCGGCCCAATGATCGGGGGTTCCGCAAACGCATGCATGTAAAACCAGTTCTCCGGATACCTCCTCCCGCCAACATTGTTGATGATCAGTGCCCACCCGATCACGATGAGCGAACCGATCACCACGATGGGTACGAGCCACCAGTCCAACCGGTGTGTTTCCGGATTGGTCATTGCCAACAGTGCAATCGCTGCACCGGGTGGATGCGTGAAGCCCAAAATCTGCATGGCAAACACAGCCACGCTGACGGATGTAGCTGCAGCGGCCCAGTCGACACCATAGACGCCCGTGACACTGTAGCTCGTGCCTTGAAAAGCCTTTTGGAGCGCTACCCCAATGACGGCCGAGATGGTGTTACCGAGCAGGATATTTTTTGGCTGTGCCAGGGGCGTACGGTAGGCAAAGAACGTCACCACCGCCTCGGTTGCAAACGCGGCAATGACGAGCGGCGCATCGTGCGCACGGTGGAACGGCGAGCGCGAAACCAGACTCAGCAACGCAATCACCACCCACGCCGCAATGAGCGAATGGACGGAATTGACCACCTTGGCCCCGACCTGCTCGCGGTACATCTGCACCAGCTGGATCTCGCCCGTGTCCGGATCGCGGTAGCGTGCAATCTGGCCCGTCTCCCCCGACGGCTCCAATCCAAAGCTGAGAATGCGCCCGCAGATGTAGTGAAACCGACGAAAGCCAGGATCGCTGGGTTTGCGGCGTCGTTCTGCCGGAGTATGCGGGTGCGACAGCGGTCGGTAGCCGATGAAATGGCTGAGTGGATACAGTGCTGCCAGCCACGGATGCGCCTCGTCGTCGTGATCGTCCTCTGCATCCTTATCCGATCCACGTACGGGCGGCTTGGGTTTGGCGCCTTCCGACGAGGGCGTGTAGAGGTGCGAGCTCGCTTTGTGCGCCGTACTGTCGGTGCTCGGCGAACCTTGCTGTGCCCGTGGCGGTACAGTCGTCTCGATCTTCGCTTGCCCTCGCGCCGAGTTGCTACGCAAGACACGCTTGGTAGAGCGCACCGCCTTCATCTCTGTCTCGGGCACCTGCGCTGCCGCGGCTGGTGGTGCTGCAGCGCCATCCTCGGCCGAAGCGCGCGATCCATCGCTCGAGATGATCTCGATAAACCGCCCTTCGTGCGACTTTTCCTGCGGCTGTGGCGCGGTTGTTGTGGGTGCCGCCTCGGTAGGGAAGCCCTGCGAGAGCGGTGATATGGGTGTGGCCTCCTCGGGAATCGTGGTGGGTGCGTGGCTCGATACCTCGTCCGCACTACCCTCCTCGAGCCGCATGTCGCCGGGATCTAGGGATTCTACGTCTTAACGTCGGGGAACGCCTCTAGAGCCTCATTGACCTTGTCGATGCAATCGCAGCTCTATAGACGGAGTGTGTAGAGCTTCGTGGATGTGGGATTGAGAGAACGCCGAGAGCGATGGATCTCGGCCACTTGGGGCGGAGCGGGTATGACAGGACAGGGTCTGCAGCCTCCATCTCCACCGCCAAGGGCAGCAAAGTGCCACTTCGATCGAGTCGCCGGGATCGTGTGCGGGCAAGCCGCTGATGCTGTCCCCGCCCTCTGCGAGATAGATTTGAGCCGGCACTGCAGCCGAAGCTGCCGATTATCGTAGTTGGCCCTTTTGCCGAGACTTTTTTGACGGCGCAACTTAGCTGCCAAAAGCCTCACCGAAAGTCTCGACTGGAAAAATTGCTAGACAGCTTGCCTCACTCTTTTTTGCCATCGACGCAGAGACATCCAGCCTTCCATGCCGACGAGGGATTATGGACAGTGGTGCGCTTGCGACGTCGACAGGCTCATTGCTGTATTGGCAACTGTCTCAAAAGCATCGCGTTGCTTCGTCATCTTGCTTTTCAGCCGGGCCTTTTTGGGGTCAAGAGCGTCTTTTCTCGATTTCAATGGAATTTCCCTTCCCACTTGCGTCGCGCCATGCCATCCACACAGGCTTACGCAGACAGCACCCCTCGCGCTGTCGCATGACCGCCTCGTGCATCCACCAACTTGCACTTCCCACCCAATCCATTTCGAGCCCCTCCCTTCATCTGGTCCGAACGCATTCGCCCTGCCCAAGCAGCCGCTGAGTCAAGTCCGTAGCTCTCCACACCTTCTCTTCTGCCTCACAACAGACTGGCACGGCAAGTGATGAGGAATATGCGATCGATAGGCGTTGGTATATAGAGCAAAAGTAGTGTACACTGAGGTTAGACGAAAGCACTAAGAAGTGCGCTGTGGATTTCAGCGCAGCTTGGCAAAAGGATTAAAGGCATTGGCCTCGCGACGCTTGTCGAGCTGGGTGCGGTGCGACGTGTTGAGGTCCCAGAAGCGCAGCGTCTCGTCACCTGCGCCCGTGACGATGGTGTCGCCCGTAGGGCTCATGGAGAGATAGAGCACCCGCATCGTGTGGCCCGTGAGCGTGGCAATCTGCTGCATCGAAGGATACTTCCACACCTGGATCTGGTTCTGGATCGCACCACCCGAGTAGCCGTGCGTGCTGATCAGCTCGTTGGCCGTCTTGCTCCACATCAGATTGCACACCTGGCTACCCGTATCCACCTCGTTGAGCATCTGGCCCGTACTCGCGTTCCAGAACCGGATCTTCATGTCCACCGTACCTCCGCCCGACGCAAGGATGCCCTGCTGGTGCGGATTCCACGCGATCGCCTTGACCGCCGCCGTATGCTCCGTGAACCGATGCAGCGGCGTCTCGTTGAGCGTATCCCACACGATCAGCCGATTGTCGTTGCCACCGCTCGCCAGCTGGTTCGTCTCGGTGTTCCATTTTAGGCCGCACACCTCCTGGCGGTGCGCGCGCAGCGTTCGGATGTGCTGATCGGGCGCACGCACGTCGCGATGCTGGATCACGCGGTCGCGCGACCCCGACGTGAGGATCACCTCGTTCCATGCCAACGCACCTACCCGCTGCGTGTGCCCGCGCATGGTGCGCAGCAGCTTCTGCTTCTCCACGTCCCAGATCTGCACCAGCCCCTTTTGCGTGCCGATCGCAAGATGATTGCCCGAATTCGCCCAATTGAGTCCCGTCACCACGTCGTTGCTGTACTCCTTGAGATCGCACAGCTTGGTCACCGACGAGTTGTCCGCCGACCACAGATACACGCACGTGCCCAGCCCAACGCCCAGCACGTTCTTGCTCGACCAATCCACGAGGTTGAGGTAGAAGTCGTTGGCGAGGTCCGGCGCGTCGAGCACCTTGTAAGGCACCTTGCTCAGCACGCGCGGCGGCTTTCGCGGACTGAGCAGCAGGCTGCGGCTCTCCGCCTTGACCGGCGACAGGCTGTACGCCCGATGGTTGGGCGAGTCGAGCGTCTCGAGCGAGTGCGAGGCCAGTCCACCGAAAAGCCCACCGGTGCGTGGCGCAGCGCCACCGAGCTCGTCGTCGGCGATGCCAAAGTCCACCACCCGGCCCATGCCGGACCCGCTGCGGCCGGGCGTGCGGCTGCGCGAGGGACTGTAGCTGAAAAGGTTTCGCTTGGTCGGCGTTGCTGGCGAGTTGAGGCCGGTGTGACTCGAATGGCGTGTTGCTGAAGAGCCGCCGCTGGTATGCACCGACGACGACGAGCTGGATGCAAAGTTGGTGAAGGCACTTGCGCGATTGCCTCGGCTGGGCGACGTGCTCAGCCCTGCATCCGCTCCGAACAGCTCGGACGATAGCAGCGACGAGAAGGCCTGGTTGGCCTCCTCGCGTTGTGCGTCGGTGTCGATGGCGACCTTGCGCTTGTGTCGGTGCGGAGTGGGTGGATCGTCGCCGATGAGCTGGTAGGCGGTGTGCAGGTCGGTTCCGTCGCGCTGTGGGATGTATCGATCGACGATGCTGCCGGCGAGGTGCTTCTTGCTTGGTGATGACGGCTTCATGCTAGATGACGCCGACAATGACGAGCGCGACGATTCCCCGCGCAAGACGCCCGACAGGTCGGTGAGGCTGGATGATCGGTTTGTACTCGATCGTTTCGCCGCCGCAGCCCTGGATGAGCCGGGTATTGAGATGGGGGATGTGGAGAAGCTCGCGCTTGACCCGGCGAGCAGACGGTCGGTTGTGGCGCCGAGCAGGCTATCGGTGGTTCGGCTCTCGCGCTTCGAGGACGAGGGCGTGGATCCGCCGGAGGATTGGCTACGCAGCCGCCGACCGAACTCGGTGTTGTACATGGCGGGACACGGACCGGTCGGACGATGCCGGCGCGCTTTCCTGACGGGGG